CTTGGATTTTAACTTTTTTAAAAAGCTCTGTTAATTTCTAGTAATTTCCATTACTGTTGAATTGTGTAAGATAATTCTTATTCAACTGGGTTAGACTCAGAAAACAAAGCCCCTGTGAATTTTTTAATATTTATTTCAACTATATCTTCATTAGTATGCAATTCTTTTTTACACAACACTGGGCCTTTTTTCATTTTATTTTAATCTTTTTCTCTCCTACAAGTACGAGAAACTTGAATATGATATCTCACTACTGAATGGTTCTTCTATTTGTTGTGTGCTGATCTTGACTAAATCAAGGCCTGTCCCCCTCTTCTGGATTCTCTAGCTCGTTTGCCCAAAAAGTAGTTCTTGATGATATCTAAATACACAGCCTGTGCAAGATGGCGTAATGCAGCAGAATGTTAAGTTTATCCAGTCTGTATATATGTAACCAAGGACTCTTGCTTCAATCAAGCTTTTGGGTTGTACAGCCTCTCCAGTCTCCCACAGTATTTCACAGCAACTGTCTCCATCCCATCAACTAGCCCAGAGCTCTTATTAAACTTCTCCAACTCAGCTACAGAACCACTTGTAATTAAGCTTTTTTGTTTATTCTGATAAAATTATTTAACTATAATTTCTTTGGTACATACAGCATCATTTGTCTGCATAGTCTAATCTACCATCTCTGTATCAGCCAGGCACTAAACATTCCATCATCTCTGTATGACCTATACTCTGACATTTCATTGTCCCTTTGAAAGAAAAGAAAGGGTTACATGCAGGCCCACTTACAGAAAGAGGCTGACATACCTGGGGAATTTCTAATGGAATTCATCCTTAACACTCTTCTGAAGAATCATTACCCTCAGGGCACAATGGAAACAGAGTACTATGAGATAGCAATGTGCCAAGATGCCAAATAAAAACTAGTCTAAGTTCCTTCTCAACAAAAATCAGATGGCATTTGAAAAAAAGACTGACAAATGGCACAGTTGCGGTTATTCAAGATTTCTGTACCAAGAGAGGCTGTGTCAGAAAGTGAATGAACTAAGGATGCTATTGAAGTATAAAAAGTCCTTTAACCTTCTGCACACACTGCAGAACTTTGTGATATTTGCATTTACTTCCTTATATGAGGAGGGAGAATCTGTTCTTACAGCTATAGAGAAGAGAAGAGAAGAGAGGGATGCTTTCAGGATACAATGCCAGTAGCTACTGACTTGAGTTTGACAGCTGAGAAGGCCTCTGAGGCTAGCATTTTTTCTGTTGGCTGCAACTCACTTCTTTCCCTTTTGTGAGGCCTCTAGTTGGAGAACCTTCTTCCTGCATTAAATATGACGTGACATTAGGCACAACAGAATCCAACAGCTACACTACAGCATCCAGCGGGTATTCATTATTATTTATTTATTACCATAAATCTTGAATGGTCTTACCCTGGACCACTTCACATTACGCTGGACCATGAATAAACACAAAACAAAATATAGATGTGCTTAAATTCTACATAAAGAGACAACAGAGAAACTATGGCAGAGTACAAATGCAATGACACAGTACTACTGTGATAGGTGTTGGCATTAATATACCTACAATATATCTGTTGTCTAGTGAGATTGTTTTAAGCTTCACAGTACATAAAACTTTTAAGAAGAAATTTAAAGGAAGATAGTGAACATTTCTGTTTATGAAGAAGTCAACCAACACATGAGAGGCAGCCGAGAAGAAAATATCCAGTGTGGTCTGAAAATGTAATGATTGAATGATGGAAGTTGGCATCCTATGTTGATCAAAACCAGAGTCAAACTCTTGATATTGAAGGAGAGGTATCAGGTAGAAGTAGTCTTGATGGGCCTTGAAAATAAAGACAGATAGCTTATCTTTATTGCTTTAAACTGAAGGAGGAAATTGAAAATATCAAAGGAGTAAGTTTGGAAAACAGTATTTACAGTAGTGTAACACTTTGACTAGCTAACAAGCATGGCAAGGCTGCAATTTGTCAAAGCAAAAGTAAGAGATTTTCCAAGAAAGACATGATCCATGAAAAACCTGGCTGAAAAAATAAAATCGCGTGACAGAGAAGAATGACCATCCCTAAAAGACTGGAAAAAGATTCCCAAATGCAGATTTACCCTAGATTTGATGACAAAACAAATGACAGCATGACAGTGTCTTTCATAGAGGATGCAGAGAGATTTTCTGAGGGCATCAACCTATATATGAAAAAAACTACTAACAGAAGACCAATAGTTCTAACTGGAAATAAAGAACTGAGAGCACTGTTGAGGAAAATTTTCATGCATTACATCTGCTTAGGATTGGAAAACAAGAGGTATAGGAAACACAAAACATTGTTTTTCCTATAAATACTGTGAAATGAGAAAATTTTTTCATGTCACATTTATTACTAACTTATTACAGCTATCTTTGCTGCCATGTTTTGACTTTCAAGGGTTGAAGAAAAACAATGTTCATGATGTTAGATTATGAGGAGTGCCTCATTCGACATAAAGACATGCTACATCCAGTTTGAAGACAGGACAGTCATGATACAAGCCACGTGCAAACAGCAACAGAGAAAAAGATCTCACAAACTTACAACTAACATGCTTAATGTTCAGGCACATTCCTTTGCTTTTCTTCTCAGTGCACAGAAGGAAACTTACTCTGTTGCTGTAGTTCAGGATTTCAGCTCTTGAGGTATTCTCAAGTCCACACAATGTGTAGCTGTGCAGCAAATGCCCACTCCCTACATTCCAAAACATCATCTCCTCTTATCTTATTTCTTACTTTTCTCCTGGTTTCAGTCTTTTACAGCATCACAGTATAGGTTAAACCAAAGAAACAATCAGATCAGGTGCTCAACAACAGAGGTTAGCAGCACTGAGTAGTGGAAAGCTGGTACAGCTCCTCCTGTAGCAGGAGACAATTCAGAGTTCCTTTTCTTCCAAGCATTTGTAGCAGCACTACTGCAGGCAGAACAGAGCTATGCCCCAACACTATCTCCCTCAAAGTACTGGGAAGGTGCCGTCACGGGAAGGAGAAGCAGTCACACCCAGGTGATCTGTCTCTCAGTGGTGAGGAGTGAAAAATATCGGATACAGATGAAACATCCAGGGGATTCCTCATACCCCACTCACTGGCACATCACTTTCCTTCCTTTTCTCCTCTGAAACTAGTTCTGTTCTGAAGCACTTCTTTTGGTCTAGAGAACAGCTAAAGAGCTGTGTTTAGGTTGGTTTTGGTTTTTTTTGCAATCACCTAATCTCCCTCTACTTTTCTTTCTTTTCATGCAAGTAAGAATATATATGGCCAATAGGATCAAAAGGTAAAATCAGTAAACCAATAGTTCTAAACATTTTAAAAAAATATGCCAATCAATTTTTTTTATGCAAAATGAAATATCCAATGTTCTCAAATCGTGATTTCATTGCATATTGAGAAATCTGCATTTCATTTTATATTGCAAAATCTCAACAGAATCACTATCAAAGTTTTTAAACTAGAACTCTGAAAATTCCCATCCTGTAACGAACATAATAAAATTGTGGTTTGAGCACTGTTGAAGATGATGCATCTCAAAATCATTAAGTTTTGTGTTAGAACAAGAAATTACAGCTTCTGCTTAGCACTAATTTTATTTAGCAACCTAGTGTCCTCTGTTCTTAGTTGTAACTGTCACCTTGAATCCTCAGTTTATACAGGTAATTCACAACTAGTCAATGCATCTTCTTCGAAACTTCAAAGTCCTTATCCTCCCCTCCAACAGAAAACGAAACAAAAACCAAAACCAACCAACAAAAAAAAAAAGTAGAGAAAAGCAGTTACCAAACGTTTTAAACTTAAATCTATAATATATTTAGTGCAATGAAAAATACCAGTAGCTATGCATTTAGTTCTCCTTTCAAGTGTATTTTTGCCATCCAATTTCTGGTTCTGTGTTTTCTTTGGGGTTTTGTTTCTGTTTTCTTTTTTTTAATTGGAGTCTTTAGTCTGCTTCTGATCCAAGTCTGATTTCTTCTTTGGTCATGCTCTTTCTTCAAATTATTTTCCTTTCAATCTGCTCTTGTGCCAAGCAATAAAAATAATCCCATCTTCCTTAACCTTCGCTCATCAATTACTATGTCCTTGCTCCGTGAGACAGAATCTCTAACTGTCCTTACACACAACTCCTCTAGACCTTTACAGCCCCTTGATATTCACAAATTCAGTAACATTTCCAGTTTTTCAATTTTTTTGACACTAAGGCAATTGAAAACATTCTTCAATTTGAATACCAGAAAGGAAATACAACATCATAAAAAAGGGCATAATTTACAATACTCTTTTTGTTATACAGGGAAATCCCTACATATAGTTTTTGCTCATTTGTATATAAAAATAGGAGTCAAAGCAATGACTGTACCCATAGCTACAGGAAAAGAACTTCCTCCTTAATGCAAGGATAGATATTTATAGTTATTTTGGGGCAAATCCATTGATATATGATAGGGGTAATATGTAGTTCCTGCCTAAAACTTAGCTAATCAGTTATGTATGATCAAATTCACTCATAATGCCAGCTCAGTCAAATTTAACCAAGTTACACTGACACGAGTGTAAGCGTGTATTTATTAAAATGTCAATGTTCAACCCAGCAAGACAATTATCTCAGTAAATCAGTTTGCATTATCTACACAACTATTAGCGATATAAACGGTTTTATAGAGCTATAAGTTTCAGAAAGTTTATGGGTGAAAATACAGAGCAAGTCACAGACATGCTATTCTGAAAATAAAGAAAATAAACAAATTAAAAGTCTCTACCTAATTGCAGTACAGAAGGACTTGAGGTTTCCATGTTGAATTACCCAAGAATAATGAAATCCTTTAACGAGTATACTTTATATATTTTCTAAAATGAACTGAAGTAATTTGACATAAGTCAAACCTCTTGATTCTCTTTTTATCATCATTAGATTGTCAACATCAGTAAAGACTAACTATTGAAAAAGTCAATCATTTCAATGTACTTACAGCTGAATTTTCTCATGTGACCAACTATCCACAAAGCCTCAGTGCCATTAAGAAGTTTTGAGGAATATAGTATTTGGTACTGCCAAAAAAACATAATTAAAAGAATGCATGTAAATTATAATAATTTTCTAATTAGAAATGTTTTATGATTAGTTCATGTCTACAATACATACATTATCCCAAAAGGCAGGTTCCAGCACAATCAATGATACACTGACAGAATTCACAGTTAGGAGTCACAGTGGGGTCCTGATCTTGCAACTGAACTTTCACGAAAAGAACCCCGCACTACTGTAGAATCTCCTGAATTTCAATTGGGCCCTACCCACACATAATCAATTACAGTCTGCCTATGTGGGAGTAACAACAGCGAGAACAGGACCTGTTCCTCCACACACCTGCAAAAATACCAAGATTAAAAAAAATAAAATTAGTAACATGCAGCAAAACCTATTGATAGCCTGTTTTATTACAGCATTTAACACATAATAAAGGAGTTCCATACACCTCTAAGTTGCATATTATTTACAGGAATTTTCAGCTCGTTCTTTAAAGAATTTTGGCTTAAAATTGCTTGTGGATTTTACACGTAGTGGCAGCACATTATGGGAGCTTTTACTGATACATACTTGAAATATAAATTTTTAATTATTATTTTCTCAAAATTATTTATCCTAGTTTCTTTGGTCTATTATGCAAGTCACTTTTTAGTCCTTAAGCCTTCCTAAGATCTGTCCCACAACACCCATTTTAGGGACACAGCATAGGCCTGTGAATTTATTGAGGTGTGTGTAATTGTGAAAGTGTCTGACCACACAGAGTAGCATCCAAGACCAAAGTCTTTGAAAATACATAATAAAAAGCAGTTTAGTGTTAGTCATTTTTAGACTAAAAAGGAGTAGCTTTTTGGAACAAAAATCCTCATGAAAATCAGTGATAATTAATTATTTGCTACGTTTAAGCACTTAGTGAAGGTGTTTAAAACACAGGAAGCACCCAACATGTTAAACAAGAATATACCACCACTTTGCTGCTCACACAAAACTTAACATTCATAATTTGACCTTACTCTTCTTATTAAAAACACATTTATACTGATGTTTAAAAGGAAAATGCTATAAGTTACAATGTTTTTATATATTATAAACCATTTAAAAGCAAGTTAGCCCTAGGTTTCATTAAATAATATTTAACAGGTGACACTATGCAAGACTGATGGTAATACAGCTTATAAGAACCTAAGAACCACCAATAGATACTATAAACATGCAGAAAACATTTCTTCATTCCTGTAATACAGATAGCATTGGGGAAACAATTATATTTAAAAAAAAAAAAAAAGAAATCTGGGACCAAATGGAAAGGTTTGGGAATCTAACAGAAAACCCAAAATTTTCATAAAACACAATGCAGGTTTGGTTTCGATATTTTTCTTTTTTTTTTGGTAATGATGAGTTGGTCTCCTCTTGGCTTTGATTTCATGAAAAAAACTACAGGAAAATTAGCAGAAAAAGGAAAAGAATATCACAGGTTTTTGTTCCTTGAAAACTGGGCAGGAGGACAATCAAAAAAGTTGAAATTTCAGGATGGTTATCTTACAATAATAAACTGGCAGTGTTTCTTCTCATGTTACTGCTTTTAAATTTCACATTTCATATGTATGACTCTTAGGCTTCTGTTACTCTGAGAAATTCTACTGTTTCTAGAGAATACGCTACAGCACTACAGTTCTGTTTAAAAACTGTTATATCTTGACCCCTGTCTAACATTCCACAGAAAGTTTAAAAGTATCAGACATGTGCCAAATCAGTGCACCTACACAGTGAGTGAAGCAGTACCTCTGGCAAGTGTAATCCCATTTCTCATTGACTGAGATGAATGGACAGACCAGACCTTTCAGGACAATTGTGACAAAATCATGCAGCTACAGATTTAGCATTTCCCAAGTTGCAATGCAATGTGGTAACCTGATGCAGCTTGATCCTAATATTGTTTTCTATCCCTGTATCTAGCTCCACATCTTTCTTCACAATTGAAGTTAATTGGAATACAATGCATATCTTCTGCACTGTTCCAAGAGTGTAGGTTGTAGGATGGGTCAGGGACACATAGCAGCAGTCTAAATTACAGTCAGTTTCTGAAGAGAGCTGAAAACACAGTTTAACAATTTTGACAGCCTAAGAGTAGCTCAGAGGTAACATCCAAACAGTCAAAGAAATGAAAAAATGAAGCTGTCTCAACAGTTCCCTTCTCTGACATGGACAGGAAAAACATGTTTCTAATCCAGGTATAGAAATTACTGTAAAATGGAATGATTCTCAAGCGGTTTGGGAGACTAGAAGGCCCTGGCAAAATCAAGTTTTTTTCATGACCAGCAGAAGTAATGAAGTCTAGTTACCTATCAGCAAGCTTGTAGGTGCCACCAACACACTTCTGTAGAACCCCGGTCTGAACCTAGCCTGGCTGTTTTCCCATTCCCTTCTTAACAGATTTCCCCAAATTCCAGCTTCTGACATTTAGCAGAACAAGAGGCAGCTCACATTGTGGCTAGGTCTGAACTACACATGTGTTGACTGGCAGACCAATCAAGCATGCCGACCTGCAAGTCAACAAGTTGAACAGAACAGAAAATTTCTGAGTCCGTGCTGCAGCTTTTTCTACCCTGGGGGCACTAATTTGAGTCCCTTCTCTACTCACAGCTGCTAAGTTTCATTCAATTTGCAGAAACTTGACTTCGTGACCTCTAACTCTATATCAAATAGAGCTGAAATTAAGCTGTGGATTCAAAAATTATTAGGAGATAACATGATCCTATATATCTTATTTTGTTCAGAAACTAGGCATGAAAACCTTGTAGCATAATCATTGGAAAAATAACTAATGATTCTTATGTCATTTATTGTTTTCATTGAGGAGTTACACAACAAAGTCAGCTATAACAGAACACAGATTTTTATGCGGTGATAGCATAAATGAATCCAGAGAATGTAGAGACTGTTTCAATAAAATGGGCTTTGTTTTGCCACAGTGAACACGGTCCTAAATACAGGTTGCTTCAAGAAGGTGAAAATTTAACAAAATACAATTTTATATTTCTTTTTAACTTACCAAGAGTATAACTGACTGCCCTTTGTGGAGATCCCTGCTTCTCTTCCAACTCCATGCTGTCTTTCCTAAGGCTTAAGAAAAGTTCAGTGATACATAGTTCAGTAAAGCAGTGCCATCAAGTCTAATCAAAGTCTATTCAGTATACCTGGATTTTGTAGAGTTTCTGGTTGGTGGAGTTTTTATGGGTTTGTTTTGTTTTGGCTTAGTGGGTGTTTTTTTTTAATAAATATAGTGCTTTTTAATGGATCACTTTAAAATTCTGATCTCAGTACCTGGATGGAGATACTGGTATTCCAAATTAAGGAATAATTTTTAATAATATGCAAATCCCAGTTCCCTTCTCTATACATGGCATCCACAATGCTCTGCTTACCCTTTCTATTGATATAGCACTAAATTTTGACTTGTGTCAAAATTTGACTTATGTCAAGGCATAGTTGCAATCAGAAGGTTTTATTTGTTGCTGGATTCCAGGAACTGATGAAAGAAGGAAAGAAATTGAAAAAGTATAATGACCTCTCTAAAACTTCAGTAAAAAGAAGAGAGACAAAGAATAATCAGTGTGGAAAAGTTAACAGAAAACTGGACATTAGAGGAAAGGTTAGCAGGACACAATGGGTATAAGAAGAGTCAGGGAAGTGAAAGTGATTTGACCAAAATGGAACAAAAGAAACAAAATTATATTCTTAGCAGAGTAATGAAAATGAGCTTTTCAAAACTGTTTTGAGATTGGCCCATCTCTTCTTCTACTGAAGTAAAAGCATTACATCAATTCAAAAAATGCTTTAGGAAAACCTCAATGCCACTTTACTTGAACTATTCAACTTTAAGCATTTGGAGTATCTAAACTCTGCTCAGTTAAACAACTAAAGTGCTTAGATTTGAAAATAAATGTAATGATATTGTAATCATTCACTGTGTCAGTCGTATTGAGCACACATTCAAATCTGAGCCCCAACTGCTTACCCAAATAACAGGTAGACTCACACTTCGGTGCTAGTCTGGATCCAGTCTATTGGTTACCAGATAGGCAAAGTCAAGTACAAGAGACATAAAAGATCACTGTGGATTCAGACTCTTCTCTGAAAAGCCATGCTCATGCAAGTATTTTAACTTAAATACAGGATTAATTGTTTGGTGAAGCAGAATGTAAATAGTTAAGTGCTTAAAGTTAATTCAAGAATCAGCTTCCTAAAAGAAAACTAACGAAAAAGTGGTCGAGAAAGAACAAAGAAATGGATTGTTGAATCTGTATTAAAAATAAATGACCTCTGGGTTACATCTCAATGCACTGTGCCTGAAAAACTGCTGCTTCTTTCTGGCTTAAGTGTTAAACCTGGTTTTTAAAACATGTAATGGTAAAGAACCCTGGCAAAGGTTAAATTAGTTCAGTGGTTGACACCAGTACTAAAGTAATTCTTAACACAGGGTGTAGTTCAGATATTGGTATAAAGGGTTCACCATCTCTCTTGACTGTTTAAACACACTGGCATTTCCAAACCCAATTTGGTAAACAGCTGGAACAGGGTTAATAACCTCTATTCCAACAGGAAAAACTGTGGAAATCATAAGCCACTAACAGGGTTCTGTCCCTTTTAGTTCTTACTCTACAATAGTTACTAAAGGGAAACAGTTATTGAGCCATTTGTTGAAATACCAAAAAACATTTAGGGCATCTCTCAGCATTCTGTGAAGTTCTGACTACTGTAATCTGTTTCCTGAACTGCATTGTGTGCATTCTTATTTTAAACTGTCACCTATCTAAATTACCACTAAGCCAAACTCAATGCTCAACAACTATATTCTCACATGCAAGCCCCTGCTACCAATATTCCATCCTTTATCTATAGCTGTAAAAAAAAAAAAGGGAACTCACTGGTTTTAAGATACATGTTTAATAAATCCATACATATAAAAATCATTACTTAATTATTATTAAGAGTAAGACTAAAGACCTGATAAGGCAGCGAATTAGAGAGAGAATTATTTCCTCTGTAGATTCAGTTACCTTTTCTTAAAATGGCTAAACAAAATAATATTTTGTTCTCAGAAGAATTATGAGCACTACCAAAATTCTATAAACGTTGTGAAGCTCAGAGTTCAAAATTTCCCAGAAATTGGGAAACTAGAGAAGCAAATGAACAACTTTCATCAAGTTGTCTTACAAGAAATAAACTGAACAGCAAAAGAGCAAACAAATTAGTACTAGCTAAGAGAATTTCCAGATCCCTCACTCCTCCATTCATTTCAGTAGCATTTCATTTAAATGCAGGCATACGTATCTGCAAAGTTTAAGCTTCAGTCTTTCAAACAGCTTCACATATCTGAACTTCACTCTTCTAAGTAGTGCTGCTGATAAAACTACTCGTGAACAGAGTCAAGCACAAGGACTAACACTAAAGAAAATAATAAAGAAATTAGCTAATGAATGCAGGGTATCACTAACAATTATTTCTGAAAAGTGAAGGATAGCAAGGAAGAAAGCAAAGCTTGAAAAATAAAGAGCTGATATATGGGGGGTGGAGGAGAAATTAGGTTATGATCCCAGAAATTACCCTAAAAAATTTAACTTCAATACCTATAAAATAACAGAATCAATGCTAAGCAGAAAAAAATAATAGAGCATCTCTAACTTAACAGTCATGACAACCACGCTATTTTCTCACCATTTGATGAGTCCTCTTCAGTTCCAGGCTGAAGTTCATGGATGCTGTGGAGAAGATCACTTGGCAACTGCTCTGCTGTAATTAATCCATGAATAAAGAATAGGCTTCAGTTTTCACAGATACCGAGCCAGCACTTTTCACAATCATTAAATTCACAAAAATATTAAAACATTTAGAAGTTACAGTTAGGCCATTTTAGCAAAATTTTACCACAGAACCTAAGTTTAATACCAAATTCTTTCTTAAATCCTCAGGGACATGTTCATTATTATGAGTCAGGCCTATAGGTATTGGAGTCAATATTAAAAGATGTGAATGAAATATAGTAAATTCAACCTTTTGACAACTACATCATTAGTCTTTATGCTACACTGAGCATTTTAGAGGCTTAAAAAAAAGCTAAATGGAAAGTGTGCTATTGAAAAATCAGGAGGTAAAAAAAAAAAAACAAAAAAAAGCAATTTTATTTTTGATCTGCAAGTTCATAGGAAGTCTAATAAAGTATATGCAGGTCCTCAGCCAGCACATACTTCTTGCAGTCCTTACAGTCTATAGAAGCATCCCTAGATCAGGTCTATTCTGGCAAATTCAAAACTCTGTTTTCATTGTACGGTAGTAAATTATGTCCACTTCAGTCCTTTCTAGATGACAACCTCTATCATTGCTAGCAGATTGAAATTGCAAAAGCAATTCCAAATCCTGTATTTGTCAGGGCAAATCAGAAACCGAAGAGCTACAGAAGGAAGTAGAACATTCACACATGAAAGAGGATGTCCAACTACAGGCAATAGGTTATTAAACTGAAACTTTAAACTTCAAGTGATACAAAATTTACAGAGGAGGCCTGAAGGGAGGCTTAGGTGAACCTATAACAGGGATCTAGAAGGCTGGATGAAAATCAGGGGCAAGGCAGGGCTCAACTTAGAAAAATAAATAGAAAAAAATTCAAACTCCCACTGGCTGTATGCCCATATACAATACAAACACAGAAATACACACCAAAGTAATATGTAGGAGTGCAATTATTATAATTATGTGGGTGCATCTTAGTGCCCCCAAACTGGTCTAACTTACCTAGGAACTGATCCAGATGAAATGGAATAACATGCAAGAACCCAAGCAAGCCAAATAATCTAACTAAAAAGTTACATGGTAATGACACAATGCCAATTTTCATTACAACAAATTCCTCTAATCCTCACAGTTGTAAAATAAATCTTAGAAACACATAGCAAGGTAATTTGTAAAGCAATGTGTGCCTGAGTCAGAAGACAGCCTGCAGCTTTCTAACCACTCCTAGCTTCTGTCCTTTCAGCAGATAAGTACCTTGCTTTGGTTTTCCACCTCTCAGCTGGACTAGACAATTCAGTATATCCAAGCACAAAGTCTGCTGCATATAGGAAACTCTGAGTATGGGAAGCTGTGGGGATGTCATCTCAGCAACACAGATTATATCATAAGCCGCTCTCTCTAATGATTTTCTCTAGACTTTTAATTTACAAATTCAGGGTCTCAAGATCCTCCAGGGCCTAAATCCAGGATTCCCAAAGAAGGGCCTACTAGGTCTCTAGACTGGATCCAGTTGTTAGCAGTTTCCTTCATCCAACATAAGAGAACCTATGCAATGAATGGGAAAAAAAGCTATCATTTCCAGAGACAGAACTTTCAAAGGGCTGGTGCAAGTCTAAGGAAATGCCTAGAAGCTAAGGGCCATCAGAAACCTAATTGCACCTTGCCTGAAAAACAAAACATGTTATTTCAGCCTTGCCTCACTAACATAAAGACATTATGTATATGTATATGTATATGTATACGTATATGTACATGGAAGAAAAGACAGAAAAAATAAACTGAAAATATTCAACTGCACATGCTCATTCCCCTGGCAACAAGAGAATAGCTAATATGACAAATGCTGGTCATGTCACTCATTACAGTATGAGGAGATTCTCTGACAATTTAATGGCACTCTCTGAGGAGAAGAACTGAAACATAGGACAGGCACTACTAGGAGGTGTTCAGATAGGCCTGTAATGAGAACTGCACTAGGAAAGGAGTTCATTATAGAAACTGCAGCTTAACCTCATATTTGCTACCACAGCAGAGAAGAGTTCCACCACTCTAATAAGCCCAAGTGGTTTGGAATGGAAATTTGATCTAAAGAATTGACATCACTTTTGGTGAGGCTACAAATCCCTTTCTCTCCCTTCTGTCTTCAGCTGTGTTCCTGCTGTGACTTTTTGGCTTCAGTAGTCACTGAGGAAACAAACTGATGATCCTCTCCCAGATGCTACAGCCAGGGAATGCAATACCCACCTCGTATTACATGGATTTTACACTACAGCAATTGCCTTTCTCACTCGTTCTGATTTTCAGTTAAATATTTACCCATTCTGATCCTTAAATTATTTTAATTGTGCATTATTAAAGTTAAGAGATATGCATGGAAGACATAAACCAAGACTATTAAATTAGGTTTATGTTTTGGGCAGTCCTAAGTAATTCTGAGAACAATCATTATGTAATACCAGTATTAGCTTCTTAAATCCAAAATACAAAAGCAGAATAATGAAAAGAACTACTCAATGTGCTTACACATAATAATACACATTTCAGTCTGTACAGGATTGGGGCCTATGTGCATTAAGTATGGAATCTGAAAGCAAGTACTAGATATTAGAGGATGTAAAAATTTCACTTTCATTAAAAATCTTAACAAAATGACATCTGAAAGGATAATAGTGTGATTCATATTAGAGAATACCATGTATCATAGAAACAGTGTATCATAGAATACTGACATACTATTTCTACACCTTATTTCTATACTACAGTTGGAAAAATGGGTGAAAAATAATAGCTAGAATTATTTTAGGGCAAAACTATACATAATCTAAGTAAAGAGAAGTAGTATCAGCAGCATCTTTTTTTTTTTTTTACTGTTTTCACTGCTATTTCTTCTGCAAAGTTTTATTTTCACAAGCACATAACCTTCAGGAAAAAAAAATTAAAAATATTTCTTTTCAGTTGAAAGGCACACTTTGAAAATTTTGCTCAGGGTAATTTTATTAAAAGAAGAGCAAAAATGTAAATGCACTGCAAATCATTTATATTTCCTCCTTATTAATAGAATGGCTTTACGAACTGAAGTTTTTTTATCTGGCTCATTTTCACTGACAACCTGGTTTAAAAAATTAGGAATCTGTTTCTTTAGCAATACCAAACTTCAAATCCGAGGAAAATATAATAACAAATGCCTAATATTAGCTATGTGATTACTTACATGTTGCCTTGCACCACTTTCGTCACTAAGGAGCTCCAGAATTACATACTTTCTGAGTAGCAGTAGTTTTCGTAGCCATGATGGTCTAAGTTCTTTGAGACTAAAGGCTTCGTGTTTTCTACTGTGGTAGTTGGTTTAAAAAAAAAAAAAAGAGACATTACCTCTCCCTTTCAAAAACTTGTTCTGCTTATATTTTTGTCAGTGCAGCTCTAGCAGGGAGCAGTGGAATCATGAAAAGCATTAGGCCCTGAGCCTGCTAATGCTCGTCTGCCAGCAGTCAACCGAGTTCAAGATGACTCGCTCACAGACGTGAAGGGAAGATTTTGAAAGTCAGTGGTAGCAGAGCTCCCAGACTCTTATTATGTACTTTTGAAAAATCTTCCCTGAAGTCATGGGAACAACAGTTTGCAGGTCTTAGGCCTCCGCTTTCTTTTCCCTTTTTAAAAAAGCGCATCAGACTAAAAACAAAACAAAACCACAAAACAGAACAAAACACTGAAGTCAGAAAGCCCGAGGAGCGGCTGGCAGGGATGCGCTGGATCTCCCTGCCGAGGCAGGGTCCGCGGAGCTCCCAGGGAAGGACTCTCCAGCAGACACAAGTCAAGTGCAGACAGCGAGTGGCTCGGGCGGCACCGCAGCCTGCCTTTCCCCCGCTGCTTTCGGCAGCTCCCTAACCTCCATCTCGGCTTCCCCATCCCTGAGCGGGGCTGGGAGCACTACCCGGCCATCAGGTACCTTACGCTCAGTCACAGCTCGGGCCGAAGGGGAGCGGGGGGGAGGATGCGGCGTGAAAATGAAAGTTCGCGTTTTCCCTGAGCGCTCCGTGCGCAGCCGAGGCGGGAGCGCTGCCCCAGTTGAACCTCGCTCCGTCAAGTTCCTCCGAGAGCTTTTTTTTTTTGGTGTGTTTTTTTTCTTTTTCTTTTTTTTTTTCAATTTCAAATGACCAGTGTAGGGCACTCGGGGCCCACTGTGCCCTGCGATGCTCCCACACAGCCCCGCTCCGCCGTTCAGGGGCTGTTCGCAAGCCCGGGCGGGGGGCGGCCGGTGGGGCGCCCCCGGGGCGCTGCCGCCGCGCAGCCGGTGCGGCGGCGGGAGGGGGATGGGGAGCGGCGGCTGCCAGGCGGGATCGGGATCGGGCCCGCGTGCTGCGGGCAAGCGCCGAGCGCTCCCAACCCTCCTCCTGCTGCGGCGGGGTGCGCGGCTATGGGGGGAGACGGGGGGGGACAAGGGGGGTCACGCTGCAACCTGAGCGCTGCGGGAGCCGCGGGGGTCCTTTGGAGGCGCAGGGGGAGGGCGGGGGGGACAACGTGGGGGAGGCGCTGTTCATATTTTCCTCAGGTCCTCTTGGCGCACATCCCCCTCCCCCCGCGGGGCTTCCTTTCCCTACCTTCCCAAAACCCGCTGTCGTCTCCCCCCCTCCCCCGCTATCCACCATCCCCCGTATCCCCACCAGCGCCTTTACCTTGACAAGTTCGCGGGGCCGGCGGAGGTCTCGCTCCCCCTCTCTCTCTATCTTTCTCTCCCTCTCTCGCTCTCCCACACACATCTCTAACGCGCCACCTCTCCCCCGCGGGCCCGGGCTACGGGTGACATTTCTCTCCCTCTCTCGCTCTCCCACACACATCTCTAACGCGCCACCTCTCCCCCGCGGGCCCGGGCTACGGGTGACATTTCTCTCCCTCTCTCCCTCCTTCCCTGCCCCCCCCCCTTTCCCCATTAGCGGCGGTTGGGTCGGGAGCGCGCGCTGAGCGGGGAGGGCGTGGAGCGCGCGCGGGCGGCGGGTGGCGGGCGCGGGGGGGGCGGGGGGGAGGGGCGGCATTGACAGCGAGCGCCGTGTCCGTGCGGCGCTGCCGCCTCAGCCCCCGCGCGCCCCCCCCCCCCGTTCCCGGCATGCCCCGGGGCGGCGGGGCTGGCGCTAACGAATTTGAATGAAGAGCCCTCCGCTCTTTCGGCGCCATTTTCGAGTGATGCCCGATCGCATCGCTGCTGCTGCTGCTGCCGCGGGGGAGGCGCGGGGCGCGGGGGCCGCCCGCCCGCCTCACCAAACTCGCCCCCCTGTACTCTGCGCTATCCCCGCTTACACCCTCGCCGCCGCGCTTCGGAGCGGGTACCACCGCCGGCGGCACAGGCGGTAAGAGCCAGAGGGAGCGGGCGCGGCTGGGGCAGAGGGAGCTGGGCGGGCGGGCGGGCGGGGGAAGCGCGTCTTCGGCAAACGGGGGCAACCTGCGCCCCGCCGCCGGGAAAAGTCACCTCAGGAGCCCGGTGGGCAGCGGGCGGGAAGCTCCCGGAGCGGCGGCAGGTCCTGGGCGGATCTGTCACTTGCTTCCCTCAGCCCCAAGAGCGGGCGAGAGCGGCCGTCTCCTCCGGCAGGTAACCCCGCTTACTCCCCCGGGGCGGCACCGCGCCCGGTCGGGGATCCCGGGAGCCCGGCTCGCACCCGGCCCGGCCCGGCCCGGAGACAGCGGCGGGGAGGCGGGCGGGGGACGTGGGAGCCGCGGGACAGCCCGAGCTTCGGAGGGTCCCCCTGCCCCGCGCTCCCGGGACATGACAGGACAGGCTTTCCCTCATCTCCCCCCACCCCCGTTTCCCAACAACCCTCCCCAGTGGATCCTTCCCTCCCGCCTTCTCCCCCCGCCTCTCCGCCGTGGAAATTTCGGGGCAGCGTTCGGGACACGGAGGCTCCTGCTTCCCTGCTCTGCAGCAGCAGCAGCCAGGATGACTTCCCCACTTACATGCACATCTCCCTTTCTCGCTCGCCGCCCCCCCCCGCCCCCCGCCTCCTCCTTCCTCTCTCCCAGTGTTTTCGTAAGCTGGATTATTGCCCCTTCGCTCTTTCTCTTCCCCGTCCCTTCTCTCTCTGCCACCCCCTCCTCCCCCCCAACCCCCCAAAAAAATAAGAGGACAACCTTCGGGGTTTTTTTTTCTCCGTTTGTTTCCTCTCCATGTTAGCAGATTAACTTCTCCGTTTAAGCGCTTTCTCCGCCTCCCACTCAAGCGTTTAATTTCCCGTGTCGCGATACGGAGCCGCCTTTTGCAGGAACCTGGGTGACGGTCGTGCTGCCACATGCTGTCATATTTATCGTCTCTGTCCCTTTGGGTATTAACGAAGGACCAAAGTGCTCTTCATCGCCTATTGCACAGCGCTATTTTCCCCCCTCTTAGCGTTAAAACGCGAGTTTCCTTCCTGAACTAGAGGGGGGGAAACATAATCCGAGACCATTTAAATCGTGCCAGCTATTTCTGGGTGTTTTTCCTTTCCTCCCACACACCCCAAAAACGAGTAAATACCCTCCCCATAGATAGCCCAGCCTAATACTGTGATCAGAGCTGTCCATTCACCTTCTCTTCTCCGCCTACAAAATTCTCTGTCTCTGTCACCCGGGTCGCTATTTGTCATTGGCTTAGCTATTTTTTGGTGGCTGTTTCTATGTCATTTGTCGGTGGCCAGCAGCTCTCGGTCTCTTGTAGCTGTATGAACGCGATCGTGCTTATTGTGATAGGCGCCGAGATCTCTCGCAGCCTGTGCGCTGCGCGATTCCCCCGCCGCACACACACACACATACACACATAATATGTGACACGATGCCTTTTCCTCCACGACGTCGTTTAACCCCCTCGAGGCCGGGTTTGGCGTGGGTGCTCGCGTTTAGGAGTTGCGCACACAGGCTCACAAGGCATCTTTTTGTGGCGGGAGCGCCGGCGGGGACAGCACCGTGCAGTGGGGCAGGGAGGAAGCTCGGGCGCTGCCAGGCCAGTGGGCTCCTTCACAGCCACAATTTCTAAGCGTTACTTTTTATTCCTCTTCCTACTTCCCTCTTTACTTTCGGCCGCCTGACCTTTTTTTTTAATTATTATTTTAATTTTTTTATTATTATTATTTTGTCCTGAGGAAGGAAGGCGTATGGATATTTTTCCCGATGCCGTGTGAGCGGCGGGCAGCGGGGCTGCCGTCGAGCTGGCGGGCGTTCAGGATGCGCAGCTAATGCAGCATCGGGCCCCCTGTTAAGGCGCCCGTTCAGCGGAGGCTGGAACGGCTGCTGCCCCCCCTGGTTGCCTGCGAGGACGCGGGGCTGGGAGGTTGGACCGGGTCACAGCCTTTCTCCGCTCCTCTTTCCCCCCCCCCCACTGCCCCCCTCCGTCCCCCCGTTACCCCCCCGCGCATCTCTCCGCGGCGTTCAAAGCCAGAAGCGGCCGCCTTGCGCTTTGCACCCTGGCCACCGAAAATAACGAGTTAACCGAGGGACGTAGGAGGGACGTAGAGAAGAGTTGGGGTGCAGAAGTGCTGTACAAAAGATTTCTGTGTACATGGCTGAGAGCGTGTAGTCTTAAAGCAAAATGCAAAACTTAGCGTTTCCAGCATGGCAACTAGATTGTGACTCAAGGTATTTTCTGTGTAATGCAGAAATGCAATAGTTCAAGGAGGTTTTTCTGCCTCTAATCCTTAGTTTCCCTGGGTCCTTTTAATCCAGTACACAAATTATACTTTTTCAGTCTTTTTTTTCCTGGGAATTGCTTCTCACTTTGTCTCCACAATTCTTACCTTTGTGCCTTGATAGAAAATTCAGCTTAATCCTTGAAATTGTGATACTAGTAAGATCTTATTGAGATTTAGCCCTCGTTTCTTTTGATTTGCATGATTACTTTCAGAGTGTTTTCAGAAATGTTTTTAGCAGTCAGTATGGGAATGTGCACAGAGCTGTTTCATTGTAGCTCCGTATACTTTGAGATATCAGGATTTGAAGAGATTTACACTATTCAGCTGTGGAAGTGCACTCACAAACACTGACTTTCACTTTCAATGAAATAACTGTCCTGACTCATAGCTAATTCACAAAAAAAACCCTATAATTCAGTATTGTACAGGTGCATATGCATTTTTTCCCACTATTCAACAGTCATGTTCAATAGAATGCAATTTTTATCTATTTTTCATTTTATTTAAAATCTGTACTTAGCGCATATTTGACTACATGAAACAACTGTTCTTTTAAGCTTTTAATTTCTCAGCTGCACCAGTCCCATATTTTACAATTACATAAAGGTGGGTGTGGCTAAAGTGAAAGCAGTAAGCAATCTAATATCAATATATAATGTATGTTAAGTAGGTTTTCCTTTCTTATATTTGATGTACTCCTTATTTTGAAATATTTGGGGGGAAAAAATCATGTAGCTTAAATAGACCCTTGTAGAGCTGCCTGCATTTTTTACCTTAGTTAAAATGTCAAACATTAACTGGGATTACTTGGCCCTGGAAAAGTTACATTTAGAGGAAATATCAATTGAACTTAAAGATCTAAGCATATATGCTTATATTGATCGGTGAAAGTTGAAGTTCTATGCTTACTAAAACATTGCTTAGATACACCACATAGCATAGTGTGTGTATTAATTTTTTTTTTCTTTGTTTCTTTTCAGTCTAGTCATCTATTTTGATTCTTAGGAAAAACATCCAAATAAGCTTTAGTTGGTTGGGGTTTGGTTGTTTTTTTTTTCCTCCCTCTAAGTTGTACTGAAAGTTTCCAAGAAGTACTCTTTCATTTTACAGTTATAAATCTACTGAAACTTGGAATAACTCTTGAGATTTTTTTAATTTTCAGAAATAACAGTAAATTGAAAGTGTGATTGTGTATCTATGTGACTTTTTAATGTGTTAGGTTAGTATTTGATAGGAAGCTTAATGTAGTAACATTTTAAAGAGAGACTATATATACGATACCAAAGTATCATGGGGTTCTTTTTCTGTTTGGTTTGTTGTTTGTTTTTTTATCCTTAGCTTCTGGAATTCTGAACATCTTACTGTTTCATCTAAAATGCAATGTCATGGAAGGAAAAATAAATTGGAGTCTTTAATTCCTTAATTCTTTTTATGACTAATAAGTCAAATTCTTAGTGAAGTACAACTGGAACTGCCTACAGACTACCCGGCTCTGTACACCTTGCCTTTGAACACTGTATGAAGGTGCACATCTCATCCAGCTTGAATGTCAAAAGCCATCCTGACAGGTGTATCAATGCTTTTCTGTCACACTTTTACACATGTACAAGCACATGACCTTTCTTTACAGAAAAAGTAGCCACATAACAGTTAGTATTTCTTTTATAGGACCTTACTGAGTTTTATTATTTTCATTGGGAAGCAATTAACTACTGAACATGTAAGGGAGAACCAAGAAGCTTATCACTGTATTCTACGAATCTGCTGCAGGTATTCTGTTTTGAAGGTGCAGTCATCCACCCACACCCAAAGGCCCGTTGCAAGTCATTCCAGTAATTTACATTCATTACAAACTGTCAAAGGCAGAGCGCATCTTGGACTAGTTTTGATTGTCTGTGAAAGAAATAGGGAATGAAATTGTAGGCTTTTGTGTACAAACAGAAAAATGTTTTTATCAGAAGGTTTTTAAAACTAAAAATAACTTTATGTACATCAATAAGTGTTCTCCACAGATTTATTTTTTTTTTATACTTACATATTATTACAAGTTCTAAACACTTAGTATTTAACACTGGAACCTGATCTCAAAAAATTATGATGTTTTCTATTATCAGTAAAGCTCTTTTTTTTTTTTTTTTTTTAGACAGGCTGCCCAAATTTTTGTTGTACATAGTCCCCTGTGACTCTTCTCACAGCCATCTATTTTTTAATAGAACTAGTAAAGTATTTTAAAGATAGAAAAAAATTTATATGCCTCACAAATAGAAAGGGGACATCAAACAGAATGGAGAGGTGTAGCCATAGATTTCCAGTAACCTCTTTTTAGATAGTGAAAATGTTGCTTTGCAATTTTATTTTTTTTTGTGCATTATTGGCAGGAGTTATGTAGAATTTTTAGGTTACTGATGTATAAATATATAACAAGCTAGATAAGTTGGGTTTCAAAAGAAATCTTTATTGAAAAATATCTTCATTGTGGATACTGGACAATTTCAGAAATTCTTAGAGTAAACCAGGTATAAAAATTTCTGCCCATAGGATATAAGGCAATGTCTGTAGTGATTTTTTTTTTTAACCCTTTATTGTAAGTTTTTAAAATGCTCATTCTAATAAAGAAACTTTGGGATACATCTATTCACTGGACAGTTGATAGTACCACAGTTGAGGAAGAGTTTTGATCTTAGCTTTGTGTGCTGTTTGAGAAATCCAGAAGGTTTTGCAGGAATATTAGAGGAGGGTAGCAGACTTGAGCTCTAGTGCAGCTAACATTTAAAGTTCGGCAATTTTTTACTTTAATATTTGCATCTAATAATATTTTTAGCATATCATTAAAAACAAAAAAAATTCTCTTTACAGAGAATACTAAGCTTTTTAACTTTATGTAATTCTAAACACTTTTCCATATCTCGGTAATGAACAGTTACTAGTGTATAAGGATGACCTCACACACACTACCTCACACACACATACACACAACAGTAGAAAATGTAATTTATGTACATTTAGCTTTTATTTTGTTAAAGGTTTCCCAAGATGTGTTCTAAAACTAAAGGCGATATTGTTACACTGCACAAAACTGAAAGATAGGAGTGACTTTCAGTGATCGTTATTAATGTCTAAAGGAAACCACTGTTAGAAATAGGACCCCTCTGCCCCGTGACTATTTAGTTTGTTTTCAGACACTGCAATGAGTGTATCCACAGTAAATAGATTATTAATAAACTTCTCAACATTGAATCTGGTCACAACTAATTATTTTATTTAGCATGAACTGAAATTCACTTGAAAATTTGGTTTCAGAAAAAGATAATTACACATCGAATGGCTTAGGCTTGTATTTTCATTTTAAATACCTTTTGTAAGTCCAGTTTCAATATTATCTTCAAGTATGTTAAATCTCGGTATAAGCGCAGGGGAGACCACAACTTTTGTGGTTTTGGTTTAAGAACAGAAACTTTTTTTTAAAGGTAAAATAGATAATGTGTGGAATACATGAAAATACAAACAAACTCTTTTGTCTTGTTAAAGCAGGGTGTTTATTATAGTTCCATAGCTATGGGGGGGTTAGTATTTTCTGGAATACTCTTAAAGAATAAAGAACAGATTTATAGAAATATTTGTAAGCAGGTGACTTGATCTAGGCATCAGCTACTCATTTATTAGGCCTAGGATGCATCTTGTCATAGTACCTACAGTAAAAAAGTCCAAATAAAGTCAAAATACATTTAAGATTTTGGCTGTGTGAATGCAATATTTCCTCCAGTTATTTGACTATAGTTACTACCTCTGTCAAGTTATACTTTGTTCTTACCTGATCATGGCTACTTTGTTTTTTTTGGTTTTTTTTTTTTTTTAGTCTCTCAGAGCGTATTATATGACAGTAATTCTTCCAATATATGTTTTAAAGTAGCTAATATTTGTAGGCTACATTGTCATAAAGGCAGTAATGCTACTAGCTTGAAGAGCAAAAAAAAATTAGAACTCCTTAAAGAGAAACACAAGAATTTAAATACTTAACAGTCAATAGCATATTTTAGGAAATATAACAGTAATAATCACACATCCATTAAGTAGTTTACTTACTTACAAACTTGTTTACTTGTTTGAGGGTGGAGGGAGAGATTGGTAGTGGGTAGGAAGGGAGAACAACGCCCCTCTATTCCCCCCCCCTTTTTTTTTTTCCTTTTTCATCTTACTTTCATCTTAAAATGCTGCAGGAAGAATGAAAGCAGAAACATGCTAATCTGATTTGTTTCAGGAGGCTTCTGATAATAAAGAGGCATATCACAGGTGTTCCTAATCAAGTCAGTTTGGTTTAAAAAAAAAAGTATTTTTAAAATTAGGATTTCCTGTAACATAGACAATGCGAGGGTCAAGCTGATGACCTACGTCTATGTTTGGGGATCAACCATGAAACTCTGGGTGTTGGAAATATGTTATAATACATGACATTTTTATTGCAGGTTTTGACCTTTCAATAGAGAGCTGATTTTGGAGAACAGCTTACTCCTGTGATTGAAAAACTCTCTGGAAGGTTGATGGAGCATGAGCTTGGTATATATTGTATTACCATTTCTCTTATTTCATATGTTCTTTATTTTAAAAAATGTATACACAAGTGTAACTTATTCAGATTATTCAAAATAGGCCAGTTATGCTGGGTTTATTCACAAATTTATTATTTGTTAAAATAATTCTTCTTTACACTCCTCCTGTAAAATTATAAAAGACTAAGTAAAAGTATTTACACAAGCTGTACTCAGAAGGAAATGAAGTGGCCAAAAGTATGTCTAAAAAGCTGAGTTTGCAACAGCCTTGATCCATTTGAGTTATATAAATTCTCCATATACTATTGTTCTCCTATTCATGTCTTGGGAATTACTCCAACTGAAATGTTGCTAATCCAAAAACAAAGTATGGATGAAATAAAAAAATTATTTTTCAATAACTTTTTTTTTTGTTGTTGGGAGGATGTGTTAAAGAATAGAATAGAGAGGTAGTTGAGTGCATTTTCATGTAGTGGGTAAAATTTGTTTTTAAAGACATTAATAAGCTAACTACCTGACAAACAAAGAAGCAGAAAAGAGAAAGAAAAGTGGTCTTCAGAGCCCTCCACCTGTACCAGAATAGTCAGAAATTTTATTTTTTTAATCTATATGTCGGTAAACAGATATTATATAGTAAAACAGTGAACATGTCAGAGTAATTAATACGGACTATGCTACACTCATATTACAAGTCCTGCTTTGCACTGAAAGTACTAATTTGGCTGAAACTGAGAAATCCATTCAGAGTAATCATAACCTATCTGCTCATATATGAATAGTCTTAACTAACCATTTACATAGACAACCGAAATTAAAATAGTAACTGGTCTTGGATTGAGTAAATTTGTTTAAATACTAAATGGAGTAGTAAAAACTGTAAGAGTGTATCTTCAGCAGAATATATTCTAGTACAACAAATTCTGTGAACATGTTGTGACTTTAGCAATTCAAACTTTCAACTGGAATTCAGTTTTTATCCTTAATCAGTTCTGTCTGTCTGCAAGAGCACATTTTTTTGTAGGACGTAATTGTACCATAATATAGGAGAAGTTTTAAAAAAACAAAATTTCAGATTATCCCAGTAACTGCTGATTTCTACCAAGCAAATCCAGTGAGGTGTAAACTTCATATTTCCTCATTGTTGTGACTAAGGGCTAGTAGAACTGAAGAATTGCTGGCATTTACCAGTAATGCACCTCCTAGTATAGAAGTATTGAAGGCAGACATAGTCTGAATATATTTTTCATAAAATACCATAATTTTAGGGTAATTAAGGCCACCTACAGAAAATTATCAGTTGAGTATAGGAAGTGAAACAAGATTATATATAAGCTTTGAAGTTTGTGATTAGTGAGTAGGTAATTCTTTATTTTTTAATCCTTTCTTTATGTGTTTAAACACAGTGAAAATACTTTTATTAGTGCTGGTGTTTAGGTAACATGCCTAATGTGCTCCCAAATAAAATAAATATTTCAGTCTGTCCAGAAACTGCTCTGAATGTACTGCATTTCTGTTGGGATTTTTCTTTTTTTTTTTTTTTTTCATTCCCCTCTGTTTTTCTCCTGGTTCTCTTAGAAAAATAAGGATTTCACTTAACAGTTTTTCTGTAAAAATTCTTTTTTTTTCTGTACAAAAGCAGTTACATTCTTGTTAATGAAAATCAGGATTATATTGCAAGGCAAAGGTATCTAAGGCTCCCTTGTGAGATATTTAAAAGGTGAAAGTTTGATGGAGTGTTCCTTGGTCTGACACAAGTTCAGAGCATTTCTTATAGATTCTTATTCAGCAAAAAAAGGTGGTTTCTGGTTCACAACTGTAAATCAAAGGCATTTTAAATTTAGGGCCTAATCCTTCAAACTTTAAAATACACAACTAGTCCTAATAACTCACTACCATGAATAAGGATTTGCAGAATCATATTCTCATTAGATGCACACTTCATTTCCTTTAATAAATTTAATATATATTAAAGTATTTTGAACTTTAGACAAGTCTAAATGATTTTATAAGGTGCAAAGAGTTTTTCAGTAATATAGTAATTGAGTCTTACTCATTTATGAGGTCAAATATCTTGTAAGACTGTTGAAGTTGTCAGTTATCATTAGAATCCACTTTTTAAGTGTTGATTTGCTCTAGAACACTTTTATGCTGAAATTTGGCCCATGTTAATTTTTTTGTTTTGTTTTCTAGAGCTGTTTTGTACTTGGTAGTCAGCATGACTGTTCCTTGACCCAAAGAGTAGGTGAAACTTTCAAGAAAGATGATGGAGTGTGTTTTATTTTTCTACTCTTACTCTCTGCTATTATAGTTCTTACTTAACAAAACTGCCATTGATTTTGTTGGAAGTTCAGCCTGAAATAAGGTCTGCAGTGCTTGCCCCTTAAAAATTGCTGATGTGGCCATTGCACATTGTGTGCTTGACTTTGTAAATTGTTTTGCAATATCTAATTGGAAAGAAGTTGAAAAGATAGAAATGTACAGACTTCTTTGTTGAAGTACTTCAGACGTGGAACTTTGTGTGGTCACTTCTACTATTCCTGCTGTAGGTATAACACTTGAGGCTCTACAAACCTTGTTGACTGAATCATAATTTGAAAGCTGACAATGCATGCTTATTGCTCATCCAAAGGGAACTACAGATTACTTTGACAACTCATTTCTGCTTTCCTTAATGACTTCTCTTGCTTTTCAAAGGCAACTTAAATAATTTTTCTGGAAGAGATATGTAGCTATAAATGCAACCCATGCCTAGTTATTATACAACAGATGCAAAATCAACCATTGTTTGAAACCCTGTGATATCTTAGGCATGACTGTTTTAAGTTTTGAAATCTGAAGCAACTGAATTTTCTGGATTTTGTTAGTTTAAACTAAATCCAGCCCTAACATTATTTTAAAATGGAGTTTTGTATACTATTAGATTTAAATAGACATTAACTTTTATTATTACATCAGGCATTTAATGAAACATGTATATAGAAAGGATTTAAGACTGGCATACTTACACATCATTTTTCCTTGTCTCTTGATAAAATGGGCTTGCAAGGCAATAGGAAAAGAAAAGCAAAATATATGCAAATTCTTTAGGGAAAATAGTTAAAATATGCTAACTGGAATATTTAAATGCTTATTTTTCTCAAGTGCAAACATTTAATTAAGCAAGGTAACACCCCCCCCTTTTTTAATTTTTTTGTTTTTGTTTGTTTAATTTCAACAAAAATCTAAGTAGAAATTTATGTAGACCAGTACATTTAAGCTTTGGGTGGGGGAATGAGAAATGTAATCAAAGTTCTTAAATGTTCAACTACTGTATTGATGGCTTCTTAATCCACCTTGGTTTAGACTGCTGTTTGCACACTAACATGAAAAAGGGCATGTATGAAGATGCTACTGCTTGTTGAGTAGTGTGTTTGAATAAACCACTGTTTCTAGCTTTGTTAATTTTGAATTTATTTCAAACAAAGGGATATTCATGGTAAATTTTTTTCTGAGTTTTTTTGGGGCAGGATTTTTTTTTCCTTTCTGAAAACAAGTTGTTTTGTTATTATTCTAAATTTTTACAGCAGTATTATGAGAAAATAAGTGCTTTTTCTCAAACGATGTTAGCAATATAATCTACTCAAAGCAAGAAATCAGCAATATTTGTTTCTTAATTTGTGTAGTACTTAAAAATCTTAGTAATATGCAGATACCTCTACAGTGTTTACACCTTTCCTTTAACCCACTAAATTTCAAGAGCTTGCTTTTTATTTCCTGTGAATGCCCTGTGGGGTTTTTTTGTTTTGAGGGTTTTATTGAGGTTTGGGGTTTTTTTAAGCCTTCAGGTCAAAGATTTTCTTGATTTTTATGTGTCCACTTCCTAGTTGATATGAAGAGCAATTTAAAGAAATGTTTTTTAAAGTTCCCTTTCTTCCCACTGAAAGAGATGGATTTAAGTATTCATATGAAAGTTAACATAAACATTTTGAAAGTGTTGTGATTATGGACATGATTATGATCTTCCCAACTCTAGCTGATAATTTTCTACTTCAACATAGATGTAGCATCATCTAAGTCATTTTTAGATTTAGACAGGACTTCCAGTGAATCTGATAAACGAAAAAATTTGCTTTATAATTTCTGTATTATTTTGGAACAAAATTTTCTGTCAGTAGAATGGGTAGATACTGTAGTCTTAAGTATGCTATCGCATTAGTAATTCTGAAAACACTTTACTTTCTCTTGTTGCAAGCTAGTCCATATTTTAGTCAAGTTCAAGAATTAGACAAGGAAGACGCTCCATCTGTTGTGAAACATTGCAATGGCTCTTACAAGAAAGTTTGTTGCAGACAGAGTTCTCTTTTGATACTGTAACACTTATGTCAGCATTTTGCACAGGCAAAAAGAACTCCTGATCGAAAGAATGTTATGTACTGATTAGCCTGTCCCTAAAACCAAAAGGTTTTTTTCCAGGCTCTCAGGAGAGGGGATAATGATGCTTTTAATGCCAAGCACAGGAGTTATAAGACCAGCAGTCAAATCTGTACTTTTCTTCATCTGTGTTATCACCTAAAATCTAAAAATAATTTTTCATCTCTCAGTCAGTCAGTATTAGTTAGGGATTTTAGTTCTGTATGACCAGACTATTTTTTTAAACAAAGGGTCATATCTTTAATTCTATGTGCGTGGAAATCTGTAGCCTATATGATATGCAAGTTTTATTCACTATGTTCACTATACTTCTTTAGGTCCCAAATTCATGGCCTCTCTAATCAATTCAAGAGTAGATAAAATATGGTTTGAAATAAACTCTCAGGAAAATGTTTACCTTTCTTTCTAGAATTACCAGGTTTAAAATCTGGATCTTCATTTGCTTCTAGGTTTGAGGTATAACTAGGAGACTCTTGAATTAGCAGTGAGAAAATAATTCCTTCCAGGGTATTAGTACTGCTAGACTGTGTTCTGTTCTGACACCAGCAATCTTCCGTTTTCATTAAGGCTTTGATCCCAGCTATATCATCATAGTTACGATGAATTTGGCTGTGAATATTGAGTGTTTCCTTCAGAAATTGATATTTTTGTGAAACTGCATAAGAAACTAACAGAAATATAAAATACAAGAATGTTCATAAGTTACCTCTTAAATTTATTGTCCTTGATTATTTTTTTTGCCATTTAGATATACAAAGTTCTTGCATTTTGGTGTGCAATACTTAATTTGTCAACCTCACAGTCTTCTGATCTGAAAATGAATTTGAAATGCTGTTCAGGTTTTTTTTTTATTATTTTTTATGTGAATATAACTTATGTTGCTGACCCATTTTCCAGTATTAAAAAACTGAACAGAATTTGTCATTGAGGTAGGAATTAATGAAGGCTAACACTAGAGGGCAATTCAAAGCAGCAGCATACTCCAGAACAGTTTTGGTTGCCTGTAGCCCTGAGCTGAAAAGGAGGGAGGCTATGGAGATTTTCCCAGGGTCTTCCCAGGCAAAAGATGCTCTTTGTGATTACCCTCCTAAATCGTTTGACTCACTTTTCATATCTTGGAGTGCTCCACTGAACGAGGAGGAAGTTAAGCCAGTTCTTATGCTTTGCTGAATTACAAGTTAAGAAAGGCCTTCCAAGAGAGTCTTACCTCACTCGCTCTTGCCACTGTCAAAAAGGCAAAACTTATTCAGTGGTGGGTTTTGTTCATTTTTAATTTGCTGTCACATGCTACAGCAAACCCTTTGAAAAGTACTAGGATTTGTGGGGTAAGATAACATTGCACAGAAATTTAAATGTCTTTTGTTAAGTGCTAAGGAAAATGGAATACATGGTAAAATATTTTCTTACAAAATACTATAAAGTTATTCAAATTAATAAGACAGTATGAATAATTAATTCCATATAAATAAGAAAAGACAAACCGCCTGACAACCAGGATAAGGCATCAGATGGGTACTTTGTGTCCATAATTTTATCAAAGAAAATATATTGAATGTAACAAAATAAGTTCAGTTGAAGATGAGTAATCAGGTGCTGTATTTAATATTTAACCAAGTAGGAGGGATCATCTGTGTGTATTGTGCACAATTTAAACAATTTATATAACAGTGCATTACATAATAAATTACAGTTTTCACAGTTACAATGTTCATTATAGATTTACAGAACATCTTGAATACTTGTAAATAATAACCTGTAATGCAAATGATGATGTTATGGTTCTTGAAAAGGACTCCAGTATTCTTATTTCAGCAATGCAAATTTTCTCATTATATTGAAATGTATGCACCCAGCCGTGTAAATGCTTGTGGCACAGTACAAATTTCAAAACAAAGAGCATTTTATAAGTGAGTGTGAGTTTATACCTGTCCCTCTACCTTATTTTATGTGGATGCATATAATATATTATATTTTATGTGTACTTATATATAAAAAATCTGTAATTAAAATAGGATGTTTGTTCCTACACTCTATCAGTTTGTCACGTTGTATTATCTTTACATTCTTTTGCACAACTTACTATAAATGTCTTGAACTTGCTTTAACTGCTTTCAAGGTTTTTTTTATAAAGAATACTTACTTAAAATCACTCTGGCAGTGCCACAGATCAATAGAAATACTACAGTGCATTGTTTCAGTAAACATTTACACCTATTTTCTGCAGGTCTGCTCAGCAACTCCAGTGCAAATTGAAAATATGTAATCTGCTGGCAATGATGTGCCCAACCTTAATTCGTGCTGGAGCTTTTGAAAGAGATTGTGTCATCACACAGCATATGTAGTCCAACAATGACTGACCTTGATCGATCTGTCAAAGGAGAAAATAGCTTTCTTGGTTCTTAATTTGCAAAATACACAACAGAAAAAAAAATGGAGCATGTGAAATTTAACCCACAGAAGTTGTTAGGTTCTCTGGGGTTTCGGGGAAACTTGGTTTTGTTGGGGAAATGGGTTTGAGGGATTAGTTGGCAATCATGCTTGGTGATAAAGAGGTCTTAATCACACACATGAACTCCTGGGTTTGAGAATTTCTACCAAATCCATCTGAATCTAGGTGATTAAACCAAGCATACATGTAAGCTTTTAAGGAGCTGAATCCTTAGTCTTTTGCAGGTAAGACACTACCAATTTAAGAATTAGCATTTTCATGCCAACATGACTTATCTTTTTTTTTTTTTTTTCATTTTACCAGCTTGATTTTTGGCCCTAAGTCAAAGAAATAAGTTCTGTCTTTAACATTAAAGCTGTCTTCAGAGTTTTGTTTATTTTAACAAAGCAAGAACAAATGTGTAAGTACCAGCAATGTGCAGAGCAATATTGCAATATTGGTCTGTTCTGTGTTAAGCAGGTGGTTTCATGTGGCAGGCTGGAAGAGAGACTCTTTTTCTTCCCAGCTTTTGACAAAAAGATGACGCATATGACTCAGAATTAGAAGGGGAAATCTGCCAGTTTGCATCAGTTCCTAAACTTGTGGGCTGCTATTCACCACAAGGAGAATCAGTATACTCGCACCAGTGCTTCTTGAGAGATGAGGAGTAATCCTTTCCTTCAGAAAGTGTAGAATGATTGGAATAGGCCTTTCATATGTTACACTAGGCTTTTCCTATATTAAAACATTTTTCGATTGTATTAAATTTTTAGAAAGAAAAGAGCACAGATAATTTTCTTAAATGCTACATTTAAGAATTAATATAGGAATCAGATATTATAACAATGCAGATTAAAAGCAAAGGAATCTGTTTCATAAAACTTCTGTTTTGTTGGCACTGAAACTCAGCTGTTTTAGATCTCCGTAGTCAATAGGTAAGGGGGTTTTTTTATATTTTCTAACTTAATTCCACATATCTGAATCTCCAGTTTGAGCTTTTAAGTAAGTTAGTAGGACTGAAAAACAATAAAAATAGTAACTTTGAAGGCAGAAGCCATCTGTTTTGAAGGGGAAAATAATTATTTGAAGTCTGAGTTTTCAAAATGTTTTGCTTTAGACCTGCTAAAAAAGATAATGCAGAACTTAGTGATAATTCCAATTATTCTTCCGTATGGGTTTGGGTTATGATAGAGAGATTTTTTTTGCAATACTGGTACTTGCTCAAAGAGTGTACTGTCAAGTAGCCTTTTATTTAAAAAAAAGTCAGATGCTAATTTTCAGAGATTAATGTCATCTTTTTGTTCTTGGGTATTTATTAGACAGTTTGATAGGGCTAAGAATACAACTTTTTTTTTTCTTTTTAACTGTGTATTTTAGGTATTGGATTATAAATCTTTTTTCTTAATATATTAACTTCTAGTTAATTCAGCATGGTGTTACTTAAAGATTGTTAGTGAAATATTGAAAATCTAGCTTAAAATAAAGCCGTAAGAGGCACCCTTATCCTTTTTGTCTTTTTTTTTTTCCAATGGATAAAGTTCCTTTCATTTGGAAAAACTATTGTTGTTGTTTTGAAAAAGCATATCCTAGGTGAAGTTCATTTTCTAGCTGGAAAAATTAAATTCACTGCTTATCGACCTGTGTCAGCCTCAGAAAGCACTGTTTTATTTTGTATTAGCTCAGTTCTGTGAGTAGTGATTCCCATTGATGGGAAATAGGAAACCAAACCATGAATGTTTCTGAAAGGGAGTATATAGATAGGTGTGTGTTAGATGGTATCTGTTAATATTAGTATTATTCTACTAATATTTCATAGGCAGGAGGGGAAAAGATTGCTGCTCCTGCATATTTCCTCAGCTACCATTTAATAAACAATAATCTAAGTAGATAATATGACTATGAATCTGTACCCCAAAGGTGTTAAGGACACTTGAAACTTCTGCTGAAGTGATTAATTAAATAACGAAGTTGTAGAAATACAGCTAACAACTGGAAAAGTTGTAGCAGTTACTGGGAGGTTCCTCTGCCGTTAACTAGGGGATTCCCTTAACGGTTAAATTGATTTCTTCTAACAAGTCAGCCTCACCTTTCATAAGTCATACTGTTGTCTGGCATTTTATAGAAGTCATGTAGGGATGATGTTAAGAAAAAGACAAATTTACTGTTTGAGCCAGAAGGCAGGCTTACAAAAAAGCAACTTCTTTCAGGACACGAAAAGCTCTTTGTTCTGTGGCCTTGGTCTTTTTGTGCTTTGACCCTTATTTTATAGCATTGTCACTCTGACCCTAAATCTTTGAAAGCGGACATGCAGCAAATTTAGCCCTTTACAAGTGGGGTTTCGTTCTGAGCTATGGACCTGGTTTTTATCTTTAAGTATTATAGTCCCATACAATACTGAGATGTAACAAAATCTAAATTTAAGATTTGTGGTTTGGCATAGTATAAATAGTTTTTATTTACATATAAGTCCAATTTTTAAAGAAATATATTGTGCTATTACTGTCCTATGATTTATTCCTATTTACCAATTTCAGATAAGACAGCAATTAAGTAGGCAGTCTAGTTAACACTGTATTTTCCACTTTCCCAGAAATACCTTGAATACCTTGGAAATTGATCCTGTGCACAGACCACCAGGGTTCCTGCAAAATCTACTTGAATATTCTATTGAGGACAAGAAATGCTTTGCTCTGTATTATGGAGTTAGAAGATTTAAACAGCAATATCTGCATGGCTGTCTTTCATAAAAGACAGTGACAGCTTAGGAGAGCACAGAATTTTACACTAGGCCTGTGACTGCTTCCTGGGCTAAATCAGCAAGTTGTCTGGGAATTTAATAAAACTAATTATTTTTTTTTAAGAAAGCTTGACATTAATAAAAAACTAATAGCTGATATAATTTTAATATACTTTTTAAAAGAATCTAATATTTTTAAGAGGAGAAACTATTTCCCTTTCTTAATAACTTCATATTTTTAGCTGGTTTGTATTGTACAGTTATTGTTGTTCGGAGAAGGATTGTTACCTTTTCTCTTTTACCAACAATGATTCTATATACTTCAGGTTTTGTAAATTTGAACTATAATAGGATACCTTTGCTGAAGATAATAATCTAAGGATATGCTTATAGGAGACCATGAAAAAATGTATCTTGGTTTTGGTTTTTTATTTTTTTTTCATCTGAAGAGGTGTTAGAATTTTTTTTTTAAATGCTAATACAGAAGCTGAAGATTTTAAGAGTGATCTGGCTTTCTTTTTGGTAGATCCACTATATGTAGTTTTAATATATTTTGTGATAAAATTGAGGGCTAAGTAACATTTTAATTACTAGAGTAATGGAATATAAAACTTACTTTGCAGAACTTAGAAAATAGCTTCTTCGTTTTTTCTTAATTTTGTATGTGTCCTTTCAAGCAGAAAGAATGCTGGTACAGATTGAAAGTGTTCACACAGTTTTCTTCCTGTGTGCTTGCCAAAGGTGCAGGGAAGACAGATTTTTAAAAGTTATGTGCTAGCTATACCAGTGCAGTCAAGAGGGATCTGGAAAGCTTTTATGAAATGTAGCTTTTCCAAACTCTGTTAGAACTTGGAGATTGATACACTTTACAAGTTCCCTTTAAAGTATTTCATAGAGCAATCTAGTTAATGCATCAGCATCTGACAAAGCACTTTTTAGAAGCCAGTAAAGGACGTGGGAGGGGTTAGTCTTATACAATTTTATTTTTAAGCTAGAGTTTATTCTAAAATATAATATACCAAAACATACATTAATAGTTTTTGTGTGCTATATTAGGTTCTCATAATTCTGCTTCTTTTTCTAGCTAGCCAGCTATAAAAATTGACATACTGTAATCGTTCAAGTCAGAACTGACTACCTTTGGTTTCTTGCCTTTCACTGCATTCTCTTTGCTCTTCATCACTCCAATAGAAGCATTAATATTGCAGAACCAAGCAACTGTCTTCAGTTTGGTTTGCCTTCATGACTGCAATGGGGGGGAGTGCACTTCATACAAACAAATGCGAGTCAACCTAGTAGAAGCAGTGGTTGGAGTTTTAGATTAAGTAAAAAGGATGTAAAACAGAACTTGATGCTGAGAGTCCTTAACTGCACTTCTAAGTTTCCAGGTATTTTTATACTTCTGAATTTCTCAATGGTTTTACTTCCTGGTTTTTATTTTTAGCTGGCTTTGTTATTTCATGTTTATCTTATGCAGTAGTTCTCCAGCTAGTCTAAATCTGTTTGTTCATGATCCTTGGAGAGATGGCTGGACACATGATATAGATTCTCCAAATTTAGTAGCAGTAAATTTCAGTAATCAGCAGTCATCTGCTTCACTTTCATTATTAGTACTTTACATTGCAAACAATGTAGTTCTCCTAGGCTTTTGCCATGGTTATATGGGGGATATCATTGACATAATCAGGAAATAGTTAACAGACAATCTCTTTTTTTTTTTTCCTTAGTTTGTACTAACAAAACTAGATCAGTGCTAGCTATCTCTGTTCAAATATGTATCTTTGTGTTCAGAAGATTATCTAAAGCATTAATTGTGATTTTTTTAAATACGACTTTGTAATAGTCTTAGAAATATTCAACTACTTGGTAGAAGGTATAGAGAGTGTATAAGCTTGGTCCTGAATGACTGTTCCTTTTTGAGATTGAGGCAAATTTGTTGCTGGATTACTGTCACTTAATTAAAAAAAAAAAGACACCAACAGACAGCAACCAAAAAACCTCACATGCAACCCTAGCAAAGAATTTATTTTTTTTTTTTTTTTTAGAACTGCAGTCTTAAACATGAATGCAAAATTTCACTGTTACTTCAGGAGAGGAGCAATCAAGGTGTATAGTTTATTCTCTTTATTCTTCTTCATCTGACCACAAAGTAACCTCAGTTGAGTTGATTGAATTAACTGAATAAATAATAAGGTAATAGTAGCCAAAAGTACACTGATATCTTTAAAGTAATGTTTTGAAATATTTCCATTGAATCTTTTTTCTCCTTTTAAAAAATACACGCATATTACGTTGAAGGCTGCTAACACTACGAATTAGGGAGAAAAGATGGTTCCTTAACAAAACAGCAAGAAGGCAGGAGTAAAAGGATATAGTTCTAAATCTAACTTTTAAGAATGAGCAAGAGTTGTAAATTCTACTGTGTTTGCAGTATAAATATTGCAATGTTGAGTAATCATATGACAAAAATAAAATGAAACTATTATTTAAACTGGGAGGGAGGGCTGTAAACAGTGTATTAGAAAGATACAGCTACATACACTTTCAGATCTTACAGTCTTAAAGTTTGAGAATGGAAGTGTTCAGATTTCTTGATAGTGAAGAGTGAGATCTTTAAGCCTGTCATTTGCCCAGATTAATTTAATAAAAAATCAAAAACATTTCCAGCAAAGAGGCACCCTGTCTGTGTGTTTATTCATATTGAGTGGTGTATTAGTCTCACTGAACTGTGAGAGGAAAGCTTGGCAAATTCACCACCAGTTGTCCAAAAAGCTACGCTGCAAAATGTCCTGTCTAACATGAGTAACATACTCTCTGCATGGAACGCACAGACCAGGACACACTTGTCAAAGATGCTCTACTTCATGCTGTGCCATCTCAGTGTAAACCCTGTCTCATTTCTAGTTTAAACTTAGCTAAACTGGGAAAACTGAGATATGGAAATGTAATTTCTAATGTCAGTGTTATGGAGGAGAGTAGCACTGCTGGACAAATAATATAATGCTTTAGACTGTGGAACACCAGGAGTCTTTCATGTTCAGATTTCTAATTTTAAACTGAAATAAGGTTGGGAAAGGGTCACAACAAACAGTGAAGCAATAGCCTTGCTTTCATAGTGGATGTGTGTTGCTTTGCATTAATTAGTAAGTAACAAAAGCAATGGAATATGTTTGTGTGCAAATGGTGTTTAACACTATCAATGAGGAAAATGTTTTGGCCAAGAAGTATCAGGAGAGTGTTTTTATTGTATAAGCAAAAGGCATGAGGTAAATTTTTAGTCTTATGTCATGTTCTTGGGCATTTGAGACAATATAAAGTATTTAATACAAAGGCCTTTATATGTTTTACTCCAAATAACTGACCTGTCTGTCAGATTGCAGGCCTAGTGGTAGCTTTTTGGATACAATATGTTATGCAGAGATTTCAGAAGCTTATTAGTAGTTATAG